ACTTAGAACTCTGGTAGGTGTCTTCTTGCGAGACGAATAAAGAAGAAAGAAACTGAGAGAAGTAAAAGGAAGAAGATTAATGTACAAACTTGAGGCAGGACGCCTCAAAATCTCAAAATTTTTAAATTCGACGATACCCGAATGAAAATCCTGTTTGCTAAGTTGGACTTGCACATTGATTTCTGGAGGTCAGTCGAGCATCAACCAAACTTGGTCTTTCCGTTCGTTCAACAGCCGCCCGACTCATTACCTTTGGTGTACCGAGTAAACTTAGTCAACTAATATTCCGAACAGGATCCTGCAGAATGCAATAAGTAAGAGAATCACAGATCTCGAACGTGGCTAAGAATTATCACGTTCGATTATTACGATTATTACGATTATTACGATTATTACGATTATTACGATTATTACGATTATTACGATTGGTTCGTTTACTATCGTTGGTACACGAGAATTTATGTGCAGCAAAAGGAAACAGAAATCAAATCGTTATACAAATTGATCGATTCGTTCTATTTTAAGGATAAACTCGTTCGAAAGTTTCGACATTTCTCTCGTTACATCAAGGCGCGTAGCAATTCTAGTTACATCATTCCGATAGTCCCGTTTGTACGAGCTGCGTACTTACACAGCGAAATTTCTCTTCGTTATCATAATATCACGTAATTTAGTATCGGTGAACTCTCACATCTGCTGACTGGATCACTCGTCTCCCCTCTCTTCGTCGACTTCGAGTTTCACACTGACTTGTCGGGTTAACCGACCGACACCTTACTACCCGTCTCTAATCCTTCATCTCTCTTCGACTTCGGTCTACTAGGTAAACATTCTCGGGCAAATCCATGGAAGCTCAACTGTACACGAGAGCGGAGGGTCTTGCGGAAGAGGCCAGAGGCAGGCATTCGGGCTTGATGGCTTTAGGTCTGTCTAGGAAAATTCCGGGGGTCAGCGAAACTTGCCGACACTCGTATCTCCGACGAGTGTGCGGTGACGGGCGATGAATGCTATCGGAAGCCGGTTGCTCGTTCGTTTTCAAACCGATCGATTCTTCAAGGGAGCGTTTCTCGTTGGAATTTTCCGACAACCACGAAACGCTAATTTCCCTAGATCCAACGTCGAACGGTTGAGTAGACAAAATGTATGGTTGCTTGTGGTATTTGATTGATTGCGATTGGATCTCTTTTGTATCGAATCGCTTTAATATGTTGTTGTAATTGGTATCATCGTATGTCGAAGCTATGTATAGTGAGGTTCTAAAGTAAAATCATTATGTCACACAGGGTAACCAATCGATTTAGACGCTACTAACAGACGTACACAACTGTATCGGTTGTTATGTATCAATTTCTAACAGCGTTGATAGTTTAAGCTGAGTCGTACGATCAGAATTTTCAGAATATTAATTCGGAGCTAAGAAATCAGTTATAAACGTTTCTCTTTACAAGGAAACCTCTGATTGTGAATCGACGTTCTACTACCATCGACGAAGCTCTAGACATTTATTTGAAAATGCCTGAACTTACTACCTGTTTACATTGCCAAAGTTTGTCAATTTTAACTACTGACCTGTTTTCCAGCCCCTTACTATATCACTTCCACCTTCGAAGGGATTCACAGAATACAATGCGGATTTCATCGTTACAGTTAGTCATTTGCGAAAATATAGATGGCATCGTAATATTAAATATCATATAAAGAATTGTCCGTCTACTTTCAAAACGGGGCGTCATTAATTTCAATAGTTGGAGCTCTACTATTGCGCGAAAGCTCATAAAAAAGTCAGTGGCTGAAATTTCGTTTTTCTGCATTTAATGCGCCGTATAGTTGATTTTTAATACGCCGATGCGTATTGCACTTCCGCGCCTTAAATATTTGAACAGTGAGTCCATGGCAAAGGCATGACTGGCCACGCCAGAAACCAGAACGTCCAGGATTCTAGATCAAGCCATGATTCCTGGTCCGACCACACGATCTCGTCCGTGGTCACGCGTGGGATCTACGCTAATGGATTGCCAGCCGATATGTCCCCTGTGATACGGGTGAAGATAAGCGACAAGTATCGCGAAAATCCGAGTACCTTCGACGGTTCGGCCGACCACCAAATTGGCGTCCCTTCATCGCGATGATTTTCATCGAATTAACCTATGTCGCTTCGATTTTCACTTAGCCGATCCACTCATGAATACCTTTGTCATGTCATTTTCAGAACTTTCACTTATATATGTATATAATACTATTTAAATATTATATATAAAGTATATATACTTCAATTTAGTTATTATTTAAATCTCCCTGGATATATTTAAATTTCTCGAAATTCAAAGTTGTTTTGTAGAATGTGCAAGTACTTATGTATGCGTATAGTGGTGATTATAGCATATAGGAAGAACATTAAGCGAGCGTTCTAGAAAATTGAGCCGAGGTCGTTTTATAAATACAGTTTAAGCCGCAGAACCGAAATAATCTCAATAAACAGCACATTGTAATCCTCCATTTAATTAGTTCGTTAATTATATAGTAGCAATCAACCACTTAATCTGTTTTTGGCTGGGCGCGATTTTATTGGACCGGACGGTCGGTCATGGTAATAGACGATTAATAATGAAATAATTTAATTAACCGCTCGACACAGCTGGTCTTGTTTGCACTGGTCCCGAAATTCCGTGGTAAAACAATTAATTCGTTTAACGAGCATAGCTAGCGATCGGAATTTTCCAAGATCGTGAAGTAGACTGGAAGCGAATATAAATTATTACTTGTTTCATAAACGTGTTTCACTGTCAAAATCAGTGAGATAAGATCTGTTTGCACACCTTAGAAATATACATATTCCTCCGAATTTTTCTACTCGTTTCTGTCCGGTCGCCGATTTGCAAACTAGCATCCATCCGCGTCGTTCAGCGCAAGAGGGGCGGGAAATTCGATGCTTCGTGCCGGATTAAAAGCACGCAGTTGTCCCTAAAAAACTGTCGTGATCGCCGAGCTGCGTGAAATGAACATTCCTGTTAGCTCGCTGAGCCGAGAAACGGAACCCCTGGGTTGCTGCCAGGCAAAATAATTCGGCGACCTGAACGGTGGAACGCGCGTAATCCTTGGTGTCATGGGGACAGGAAAAAGAAAAGAAGAGTACGCGAGGGTAGGGACAGATCACGGGTGGTACGCCGTGCGAAAAGGGGTTACGACGAGCCAAGAGGAAGATTCGTATATACAGAACGTATAAGGGCGAGGATTATAATAAGCCAGGCTACGTTACGAAATTGTTTCGTTCTCTAGGTATTAATAACGGCGACCTAGTCGAAACAGGGCTACGAACGCAGAGCGGCACCCCTTTCGCCACGCGACGATTATTATTGCTACCGTCAGGGGTGTGTTTTACCCTTCCGACTGAGAGTTTGTTTTACTTACAATTGCGCAGCTTCGTTTCTAGCCATAATAGCTGACCGGTTTTCATCTTCTTAATGCCTGGCTGGCAGCGTGCCCTGCCGATGAGGGACGAGTCCTCTCAAAGGAAATAAACCGTCTTTGATACGCAGGAAGGGAAATACACGTAATTGAATTTGACGGATATAGAGATGTTCCAGGGTGTGTTAGGTTCTTCCTTCCCTTCTCAGATCGCATAGCGTTTTAAGAATTTGTAATTCGCTAAATGACTAAACGAGCCCTGACTTTTAAATTTAGAACGAAGCTTTGGCGTTGCTCATTTAGATGAAACGTAAAACCGTTGCTATAACATGAAGCCGTCGGCCTGTAGAACGTAATAATTGTGAAACTGCAAGAAATTTTAACGCGAATCGCATGGAAGCTCTCAATCAGGAAAGGTGATTAGTTAGAGATAACAGGAGGTGAAAATCAGCAACGTCTTAGGGTATTGAATCGGCAAAGACACGCCGGTTGGTGGTCGCAGCAGCAATTTACTTTCTGCGATAGTCGTACTGATGACGACGCGCGTCCATTGTTCACACACGCTATTAGGCTTTCGATTCTGTCTCCGGTGCAAGCGTCATCCTTATCGAAGTGCAGAGGTTGAGGCCTCGTTTGTGCGAGGGACCGGAGGGAGGACGCATTACCGATGGCACAATGAGGGAAACGCGGCTGCCAAGTTGGTCTCCGATACGGATTGCGGTGGCATTGATAGTAACGAGCCATTAAGGGACGCGTTAAACGTATCTCTGGTGAATCCACTGTTCGCTCAGCCGAGAAACGCCAAGATGACGCTTCCGCGAAGAATGGATTTTCGTCGCACGGATTTGTATACCCTCTCGCCTCGGCGAATCTCTCCTCTCGAGGATTTTCCTCTCGCCTATCGTTTTCATCGCTTCGTTTTCAGACTTTGATCTCTACGCTTCGTTTTAACGGTTTTCATTTACTTTCGTTCGATACTACTCTTTAATTTACTACCTAGAGTTATTGTTTCAAATTAAAAAAAAAAAAGAAAAAAAAAGAAGAAAATCCCTTCGTACTCGTTCACATTTAATTTGGCAGGCTACTCGACCGATCACGCATCGTTTATCTTTTTAACGAATCTCTCGATCTATGTACGCGTCCTCTCGATGCAGAAAATGTACAGGCTGAAAATAGAACAATATTGTTCCCACGAAGAAACCATTATGCAAGAACGCGTGGGGCATGGAGCCAGTGAGCGCAACGAACGCTTACGAATAGCGAGCAAGCAACAGGGTCAATCTCTGCTAGATTACTTTTCAAGTATCTCAATAGGACTAGTTTAGTCGACTGCTTACAGCTTGTTACCGCGGTGAATGCGAGCCGCGCGACAAAACGACACCCCGACACAAAGCCACAGTGCGACATAAAAGAGCGTTCAGGCCCATTCACCAAGCGTTGCGCACGTTACGTTTATTAAGTTGGTTAAGTAGACACACCGTCAGCGAGGCCACTTTTTAAGCTGTTTCGTTATTGCCACTAGCATACGCGTTGCTTCCGGTTGGTAGGAGCGGAATGGCATTTTTCACGCGACCCCCGTAATATTTCTGTTTCAGTGTAGTTGCGGCATCCGGCACGAGGGACACCAGAGTGCGTGTTGCGAGAAAGAGAGAGAGAGCGAGATACAGCACGGATCGCCGCAGTGCAAATCGGTGTATCGTGAGACAGGTATTTACAAGAGTTTTACCATCGTGTTTCAAGCAGTCGTGGC